TTTTTTTATGGTGATTAAACACATTATTTTAGGCAAGTCATAAATTTCGGCCCGGCTCAAAAAAGAGAAGATGGAGTTCTTTTTTTTTTGGGTGTGGGGGTGGGGGAGGGGTGGTTGTCACAGGGCGCCCTCTACAAAAATAAGCGAGAGAAGAAGGAAGAGAAATAAATGATGATGGAGAAGCACAACGTGTGTGTGTGTGTGTGCGTGTCATCTTTGTCCCTGTGTGAATGTTGGTCTTTTCTTTTTTTTTTTTTTTTTGGCGTAAACAACACCTTTATTCAATATAATCTTCATAAAATCAAGGTAATACCATATTTCTATTTATTTAAAATAGCCTACTTTTTTCAAATTCTTTACATTACATTTTTTCTCTTCTCTACCCCTCTCCCCTTCTGTCTGTTCTCTTTCCCTTCTTTCTCTCTTTAGTAGAAATTTTACCCACCTTAATAAATTTCTTTGTTACTAACTTTATCACCTTTTTATAAATCTTTTTCTCGAAGTATTAAACAACAAAACATCAATAATATCATACATAATCATAATTAAAAAAGGAGAAAAAAAATTACATAGGCCTACAACAATTAATTGTGAATGTTGATCTTTGATGCTAGTTGTAGTGACAGCAGAAACACTACACAGTGATAGTGTAATAATACCTAGCTTTAGTCATGATATATATAGTCAGTGTATACAATGGCTCGTGTGCACTATAAAGAACCCAGTACATCCTTCGAGACGAGTAGGGGGATACCCCGGTGTACTGAAACAGTCAGCCCCTGTATAGTGGACGACCAGAGTTGCTGGTAAGGGTTTACCGGGTGCACAAGCACGAAGGGACCCTTAGGGGCGAAGAAAGTCATTGATCGAGTTCCTAGTCCACTGTAGATGGATATGTGCGCTATATAAACCCCTGTCTCTTATACACATCTAGATGTGTATAAGAGACAGATATATAACACATACGATTATGCACGGGGAACTAATGTTGGTTTTTAAATGTTAAAAAAGGCTTATTGTGAAGCTCTAAATATATTCAGATTGTTTAATCTGTGATCATTTAACACAACGATTACGTAAGGGGATACCTCATTGACATACGTCTTTGAATATGAATTACAATGAATGAATGTATGTTATGGATGAATAAAAGCGGTAAGGTTACAGCCACAGAGTTATCTTTTATCAGTTTCTATTGTTGTTTAATTAAGACTGAGCTCTCATTGCAGATGCTGAATTAAAAAATAAATAAAATATAAAGTATACAGATAATAATGAGTTAAGGACATACCCTTAGTTGTCCTTATTGTGGTCGGTGGCGGTGTTGTAGATCCTGCGTAAGTAAAAAATTATGGCTAGTGAAAATATCTAAAGGTTTCTTTGTAATTATAAACAACAAGTTTTTCTTTTGGATATTAAAATTAATTAAATATTAGAATTTAATATCAGTTGTCTCCACTGTTGTTGGCTCAGAAGCAGACTCAAAGAACGTCAAGGTCATGGAAGATGAGGTGAATACCAAAAGTTATCCATCATTGTACATTCGTACAATGAAAATCATTACATTTATTCGCTCCAGTACCACCTACGAGGCACACCAGACTCACAAGGTAAGCAATTGAGATCTAAAAAGATTACACAGTTCCACAAGATACTGGATTCGTCATTAGTGAATATTTGGCATGTTTATTTGGCAAATATTTAACAATCTTCACTTCGATAATTCCGGTGGACTTCTACGTACAGTTGATTTTTTTATATGTAATTGTTGGTTTGCATTCTTATTTGCATGGGATGGTGCCCTTTAAATTATGAGCCTGTTGGATGACGTTTTGATTGATTGATTTGATTTATTTATTTTCCACATAATGAACAAAAACAAACATATACATGATCAAACATATTCAAAAAATCTATGTGGATGGAGACCACAATAAGTTTAAGAAAAACTTTAAGATGTGGCCACCATTAAAATAAAAATAAAATACAAAAACTGAAAAATAAACAGGTAGTCTGGTTTCTATTTTAATACATAAGTTAGAAGGCTTAATTACCATACATCGAGACCAGATATCGTTTGATATTAAGTTTAAAAGAAGAAAAACTGGGTAAAGATTTAAAAAAGGGGTCAAGGTAATTCCATAACTTAGGTCCATTATAAAATACTGATTTTGTTCTAAGAGAAGATATATATTTTTCTGTTGTAATATTGTTTTTTGAAAACCTGGTTGGATAGTTATGAATTTCAGACTGTTGGGTTGGGAATAATAGGGTAATATGGATTGGGAGTGTATTACTTATAAATCGATACATAAAATTATAGGTTTGTTGTTTTTTTAGATCAAATATATTAAGTGTATTATATTTATAAAATAAAGGTTTAGTGTGTGTAGTACAACTTGACCCAGAACAAATCCTGAGAGCACGTTTTTGTAATTTAAAAATGCTATCAATACTAGTGGTCTCAAGACTTGTCCAGGGGCATAGGTATGTATGTTTATCAACTGTGGTGGCCCACGAGAGATTACAATAGTTAATATAGGGTAGGACTAAGGTATTGTATAATGATAAAAGTATATGTGGGGGAAAATCATTTTTTAACTTATTCATGACACCAATATTTCTAGAAATAATATTAAAAATTTGGTTACGATGAGGTTGCCAGGAAAGCTTGGAATCTAATGTTACACCGAGAAATTTTGTTTCACTGACCTGGTTAATAATATTATTATCTATTTTTAAAACATGATTATAGTCTTGTTTTGTTTTGTGATTAAAAAGAATAAAATTAGTTTTATTAATGTTCAATGATAATTTATTTAATTTAAACCAGTTGGATACTTTGCTTAATTCAGTGTTAGTAATTTTAAAAAGTTCTGGTAAGTTTTTGTTTGAATAGAAAAGATTGGTGTCGTCAGCAAACAGAACAAAACCTAATAATGATGAACAATTTGGGAGATCATTATTATAAATTAAAAATAATAAAGGACCAAGTATTGACCCCTGTGGAACACCACAATTGATTTTAGAAAGAGGAGAATTATAAGAGTCAACTGAAACAAATTGTTGTCGATTGCCAAGGTAGCTTCTAAATAGATTGATAGATTGAGAGCAAGGCCTCTGACACCATAACGTTCAAGTTTGTTTAGTAAAATGCTATGATCAATAGTGTCAAAGGCCTTGCTCAGATCAAGAAAAATACCAGCTGTGAAATAATTATTATCAATAGCTTTGGTAATTTGGTCATATATATCAATAATAGCAAGATCAGTTGAAAAGAATTTTCTAAAACCATATTGGCGATTATGAATAATATTGTGCTTATCTAAAAACCGAAGCAATCTGTTGTAAATTAGGCGCTTTTTGGAGAAACAAGGTAATAAAGAAATAGGTCTGTAATTAGTAAACAAATGAGGATCACCTTTTTTATAAATAGGAACTACCTTGGCAATTTTTAGGGCATCAGGGAATGTTCCCTTTCCAAAGCAAAGATTAAAGATATAACATAAAGGTTTTGAGATTTGATTGGATATACGTTTGACAACATTGTTTGATATTTCATCATTTCCAGGACTCTTATTAATTTTTAAGCTTTGGATAATTTCTATAATTTCGTATTCAGTAACTGGGTTTTAAAAAAAACGAATCAAGAAGAGGTGGGTTAAGAAAGCAAGAGAAATGTTGATTAGTTTGAATATTAATTTTTGCTGCAATATCTGGTCCGATGTTTACAAATTAGTCATTTAGTTTTTTAGCAATAGTATGGGAGTCTGTAATTTTTGAACGGTCATGTAGGAAGTATGACGGGGAACTTTTATGTTTGTTGTTACGACCAAGAACACTATTAATTATTTGCCAGGTTTTAAACATATTATTCGTGTATGAATTGAATTTATTATTATAATATTTTTTACGAGAAGTTTTTAATATTTTGGTTAACCTGTTTCTATAAGTTATATACTTATCTTTGTCAGATTCCCTTTTTGATTTAATATATCTTTTGTATAACTTGTTTCTTGTGTCTATAGATTTTATTATGCTATTAGTTATCCAAGGTTTTTTTTCCATTCGAATATTTCTTTTCTTTCTAACTTGTTTAATGTGGGTGTCATATATTTTTAGAAACTTATTTGCAAATGAATTGTAAGCATCATTAGGATTATCGTTGTTGTAAACATCGGACCAGACAGTACAAGGAAGATTATTACTTAGAGAGGAAATTGTATAATCATTTATTTTCCTAGACATAGAGTATTTTATATTATTATTAGATAGAGAATGAGATAAATTTGTATGAACAATAGAATAGATAGGAAAGTGATCAGATATGTCAGAGTAAAGAATGCCAGGAGATATTTTAGTTTGCATGTTGTTAGTAAATATATTATCGATAAGGGTGGCAGTTTTAGTTGTAATTCGAGTAGGTCTATGTATTAGGGTATATAAATTATAATTAAACATATTACCAAGAAACTCAGAGGATTGCTTATGTGTACTATACTTAAGTAAGTCAATGTTAAAGTCTCCGGCAATATAGGTTATTTTATTTTCATTATTTATTACATCTAGAAGAAATGATATATCAGAATTAAAAGTAAGCAATGATAAGTCCGGTACTGTATAGACGGTTCCTAAAATAATATTCTTAGGTTCAGCCTTTATTTCAATAAAAATAGATTCAGCAGTTGTAGAGATTAAATTAGAAAGATCATTACGAACTGTGTATTGTAAATTCTGGTCCAGATATATGGCAACACCACCCCCCGTTCTATTGGTTCTAGAAGAATGCAGGAGTGAATAACCTGGTATGTCGTAAAAAGAAAAAACAGTTTTATTATTTTTAAAAAAGGTTTCAGAGAAACATAAAGCAGAGAAATTATGATCCAGCGTGCTTAGGAGGTCTGTTATTTCATTGTAATGATTAACCAAACTTCGAGAATTCATATGAAAAATACTAATAGAAGAAGCAATATTATTAAATTTAGAATTAAAAGTATCTATAAGATAAAAATTACATTCATCATTATTTTCGGGATACATAGGATTAGGGTTAACTGCATTATTCATTAAAACATCGAAAGGGTCTAAAATTAAAGATTGTAAATGTTCAAAATGAACTTTATGATTGCAGAAGAAGTATTCCTTTTGTGGCCCAGTCTATGCGACCTATCAATGTCGGCACTGTCAATGCAGACATTTAGCTTCTCTTTAAATACTTTAATCACTTCCGTGTCCGTGTTTTCATTTAAGGTTTCTGGGACACCATGTAGTATTAGGCAATTTCGTCTGGAATACTGTTCTGCTTCGTCAATATCATTTTCTAGTTGATGAGCTTAGTCAATTTAAATTGGGGGAAAACGCTCCTACATGGCTAATTGTTAACCACTTTACTTATGTTCATGTTTGTTGTCCATGTGACAGATTACCACATAGCCGAAATGACAAGCTAACCTGTATTATGGTAATACAAATCACAATGAACGAACACCGACTATCACCATCTCTATTTTGGACCAACAAAATTATTCTTTCTCATTCTCTTGATGACCGTCAGAGCAATCTCACCGAAACATTCAATTCAACATGTGTTTATGGATTGAACTGTTACAGAATATAAATTTCAACTTACTTTCTGTGGTCTCCGTTGATGCCTGTGGAGCGGTTGTGGTAGCTTCTAAATAAATGTAAAACATTAACACAAAATATTAAATTTATCATTATTTAACGTCTATTAATTTCCATACTTCTTGACTACTAAGAATACACTTTATAAATAGAGATTTAAGTTAACAAGTTAACAATTTAACTTTAATTTAAGGTGTTATTACTTTTATTATCTTTTTTATCCCACTTTTTTCTTAGTTAACGTTTTAATTTTACGATTGTTATACTATTTCAGTACGATCCCACTGTACAGTAGCTCACTTCATGTTTTACTAAACAGACTTGCCAGAACAATTCTGGGTGCAGATATTAGAACACCTGTTGTTGATTTTATAACAGCACTTATAAAATTGGACAAGTGTTAATTAACGATTAATTAAATTAACTGCTACAGTATGTTCCTATTGATCATTATCACAACTTAAATACAGGAAGAAAATCTAAAAACACTTTGGTCTTGCCAAAATGACGAAATTAATCAAGTAGAAGAAAATTTTAATATCGTTCTGTCAAACTTTAGTTAACCTACGATTAACTTTTCGTAGCAATACATTAAAATACGTAAAAATCTTCCAAAAATCTATACTTAATTCTTCATATAATTTTAATTTTGTTTTGTATGCAATTTCAGTGTTTCCGAAGGTAGCCAGATATAAAGAAAGATTTCTAACTAACCCCAGTTGTTTTAGCTTCTGTATAGTTAAAACCAAACTTAGAGAGATGATCATCGACTTCAGGACCAAACATAAATTTCAACCAATAATCATCAAAAGAAAAGAAATTGAAATCGTTGATAATTATAACTAGAAATTGCAAATTGCAAGTGAAGTGCTGCGAAGTACAACTGCATAAAATGTTCTTCGAACAAAATTATTTATGCGAGTCAAGTGAAAATAATGAATAATAAAAATATAACAAATAATATAACTGTATCAACAGACAACTACTGTATCTGTCTCTTATACACAACAATAGTGTTTTGCTGCAGTGACATCTCTCTGCTGGCGATGGCTCGCTGCTGCTGGCGATGACTCGCTGCTGGCGAATCGATCTGCGCATGTGTATAAAATGGTATTTATTTCCGCAAACACTATGCTAGTCTACGATCAGCGTCGCCTAAATGTAATAATTAGCACGTTGAAATAGGCTAGTAAATAAGTTTAACTGGGTTCGTAAATAATATTGTCCTCAAAATATTGTGGCTGAGACATGAGCCGATTAAACGTAGAAATAGGAAACCTAGAAATATAGTAAAAACGCTGAATAGTACTCCAGCGTCGCGACATGCCGACGTTGGTACGAGTAGGTTAGTCTACAAACGTCGCATAAGTAATTGATTTTACCCGGCAGAACGAAAGAAGGAAACTCCGCTTTTCAGTTTGGCGATTGATTTTGGACAAACAATGACCTTTCAGAGGTCAAATTGCTGTCAAGAATATGAATTGGCTGCTTCGCAGCAATTATCTGGGCATTAATAATAAATTGGACTGGAGTGACCATATTGACCTAGTGTAAAAAATTGAATCCTAGGATGTACTGTTTGAGAACTTTATTTAAATTTAATTCCAGTGAACTTATGTTGCTTTAGAACTTTCTATAGAGCTGTAATATGTAGTGTTTGGACGTATTGTCTTGGTTGCTTGGCTGGTAATGCTGCCAGAGTGGATAAAGGACAGCTTGAAACTTTCATCCGTCGGGCTGGTAAAACGATTGGTTTAGATTTGCCCTCCATAGTGGGGTGTGTTTAGAACATTTTCAGAAAAACTTTGATCGGATTGAGTTCCCTTTTATCAGGTTATTACAAACCAACTTAATCCAAGCGGTAGAATGAGGGTACTCAGCGCGAAAACAAATCGCTATTGCAAGTCCTTTATCCCCTCCGGCGTCATCCAGTTCAGCAAGAAGGCAAGAAGAAAAATTCTAAAGTCGGGGCAAGGCTTAACCCAACTTGATGAAGTTGGTGATACGAACATGCAGACATAAAACTGTTCAGTGTTATTGATATCATATCATATCAAACAGTATAGGCTCATGGGCGTAAGACAGCTGGGGCTTGCCATACTGTAGCTCATGGTATCAAAACAAATGTCTCATTCCACTTGTACTGGACAATTGGCACATGACTGATGTACTATTTAACTCATACTGAACTAGTTTTAGTTCACATATTATTAGCGGTGTTTCATTATAGTCATGTACAGTATATATAATACGTCTTGTTTCTGGTTATAAATCAAATAACCTGACTCTTTAAAGGTATTATTTTTACAATAAGACATGAAAATATTAAGTAAGTTACTTAATTGCTATGAATGTGCACACATGTTTACTATGTAATGCCAAGGTATGATAGACTATTAAACTACAGAAAATAAGCTTCTATAATTCAGGTAGAAATTGTACCATGATTAAAAACTATAATACTCTTATTAGATTACGTGGCCTATAACTCTATTTTGACAGACGTTGACAAAATGCTCAGACCGCACTGACTCAAATAGAAAAGCTCACTTAGAAAGTTAGACCTTATCCTTTTGACCCCCGTACAGCCCATCGCTATTATCATTAATTGTTGAATTGTTTAAAATAAAATTGACTGAAAAACGCTCTTTCAATTAAAACTGGGCAGCAGCGTATAAGCAAATAGATGACATAACATACCTTCCGACGAGAAACCAGTCAGTAAAAGTAATACAACCATAAGAGAATGTGAGATTATACTGTACATCATTGTACTGTATAGCTAAATGTGTCTTCTGACTGTTCAAAATAAGGAGAAACTCAATGAGGAAATACATATATATTCTACCTATAAATAAATGAAAAATTATCATAAAAATGAAGCATTGAAAACAAGTCAACTGAGTGTTTCATAATAGCTTACAAAATAGCCTAAACCCTATAGTATTGTTATACTAAAAATACATTAGTCGTGATATCTCAAGCATCAAAAATATCAAAGGATTTGGACGGAGCGGAATGTCTATTGTTGACAGTAATATACACCTACTGGTTGACACAAAATTCTGTCAAGTGTGAATTGGATATTGTATTGGTTGTCGTGACTACGATATTTTTGGAGAAATCTACCGTATTTGACTACCGTCGTCAATTTCCTATATAATTAAATAATGGATAGTAGGCCGCCTATCTTTGTGCAAATCGGGGCCGAGTTGACTTGGGACCAAGTAGACATGGTGCCAAGTTGACTTGGGGTCGAGTTGACTTGGGGCCGAGTTGACTGGGGCCGAGGTGACTTGGGGCCGAGGTGACTTCAATTCAATTCGTTCTTACCATACCATTATTGTTATTATTATTATTATTATTATTATTATTATTATTATTATTACTATTACTATTACTATTATTATTATTATTATTATTATTATTATTATTTGTTTTCATTTTAAAAATATATTTTATTATTTTTATCATTTTATTATTATTACTATTACTATTATTATTATTATTATTATTATTATTAATATTATTATTATTATTATTATTATTATTATTATTATTATTTGTTTTCATTTTAAAAATATATTTTATTATTTTTATCATCTGCTGGCTGGGTTGGACAAGTTATAAGGTAAATTCCACCATAGCCGATTGTTTATGCTTCATCTTTAGACTTGCTAGCACCACCCCGCTCCCCCACCCAAATAAACTGTTGTTGCTTGAGATAATTTTTATTACAATTCTCATGACGATTATAATAATGATCTGTAGGCCTCATTATTTTCAAAAATAATGTACTAAATAAATATGAAAGTACCCCCATGAAAAACAGAGTGCTAGTCAGCAAAAGATTATCAATTAAACACCAACTCTATAAGCAAGTTTCTAATTCAAACACCTTGGAAATACATACTCCATAAGTATCGAAATGCACGCCATCGTGTCAGGATTTAATATTTCAACATTAATTATGTCATCATCAGGAATGATAATGACATAAATAATGTCGAAATATTGAATCCCGACACGATGGCGTGCATTTCGATACTTGGAGTATCTATTATACTATCTTACCTGAGATTAATCAGTGGACCTTTCGGTTTTTTAAAATACATTTACTGAATAATATGTGCTTTGCAACAAGAACTGGAAGGTGCAAAAGAAAAAGACAATGAATCATCTTTTCACACAATTCCTGTCACACAAAGCAATAAATAGAAAAAATTATTAAGCAATCCGATGCTCAGTTATCAAGACCATACATAGACTATAAATACAAAGGCTGCAAATAGAATACACAATGGCAGGCTACATTTTTTACAACACACTTACAGGCATAGGGTGTAGGCGGAAAGATAGGTAATCTAATTTTCTTTTTAAGTTGCACGTGTACCTGTCAGAATTCTCAAAGAGAACTAGAAGCATTTGAATTGTTATTACTCCATGCTATTACAATGTCACGTAGCCCGGATTTTCAAACAGTGTGAGATGTCAATATCAGGGTGGACCCACTTTACGTTTAAATTCAAACAATATGGACCCATTTTAATACCCATTTTCTTAAATTTTTCCCATTTTAAGCTAAATATGAGAAATCTGGACTCTTAAAAAAAGTGGACTCATTTATGCATAAAATTACATAATTTGAACCCATTTTTAAAAATGTGGACACATTCTTTGTGGACCCATTAGAAAAATGGTGTGGGACTGTCCTCTTAAAATTAAACCGGACATACACGTCACGGCGTGCAATCAAAGCTTTGGCGAATTCCTAGAAATGTAGCAATGTCTTTTACATATAGCCTAGTAATATAATTTTATAACATCCTACCAGGATACATTATACTCTAGATGGAAGGACAAAACGAAGATAAATTGAATAGGCACAATCCCATTCCCTGCATCTATCATCAGTGTTATGCCTCAACCGTAAACGCTGTGCCAAACACCTTCAATAAGACTACAGTACGTTTCGCAATCATGTACAGGTAGTTCAAAGCACTATGGCGTACATTGTACCAAGGTTGTACAAAAAGACTTTTGAAAAGTTTTGGGTGCATCTACGGGATCCCCTAGTCGAGTATAGTTATGAGTATAATACGCCATCGTTTGAGTGTATACAAACAAGGAGAGGTATAAGTTATTTTTATACCTCCTTGATACAAAGAACACCTACAAACTGCTTGACAGTTGGAGGTCTTACAACAATGCAATTCCTAGTATATTACTGTATACTGAAAAGGATTCAATGGGATACAGTATTTTATTTCTATAGCTAATTGTACTCTCTTGAATTGGCTACAGGTGAAAGGTATGCAGTACTTAAAACGATACAGTTGCAGCATAATAGGCCTAAGTGTCTAATATTAATACCTCGGGTTGCACAGTTCGATTAAGTTTGACAGTGTTGTCAGAGTTGTTTAATTTGTTGATGATGTTTTTGTTTAATTATGTTTGGGAATCACATTTTCCTATTTTTGCTTCTGCATGTGTCAGTGTTTAACTTGAAATGCTTTTGTGTACAGCAGAATCAGCAAATTGTATTTATGTACTTTTTCTTGTGCTCTTGATCGCCTTGTTCTGTTGTTGTTGTTCTATGGATTTGTAATTCTGAAATAAAAGATAAATGAATGAATGAATGAATGAATGAATGAATGAATGATACGGTACATGTTTAACAGCCTATAAGTAATCAAACAATGATATCAAAAGGAACAGTGATGTATAAAGACTGTATCGCCAAAAAGTTCCTAACCCCGATATTTTTAAAACAAACTTTAGTCGTATTGCGAACTAAAACTTAAAAATTACGTCATTTCGTATTCTTAAAACAAACTTCGACCATTTTCAAATGCTTCGACTAGCACTACGAATTGACGCGAACCTTGACTAAAATGATACAACCTCCGCAGGCCGATTTTTTTAGTCAGCCTAGGGTCAGGCTAAATCGCCGACTTAAACTATTTACCCCACTAAAAACGTGTGTTTGTAACTCACGATAAAGGGAAACGAATAAAAACGATTACGCAGGTTTGATGATCTTCGGCGTGTTAAACAAAAGAGACATCAAGTTTAGCTTCCAAAAGGAGATAAGCCTTATTTTCCACGAATCGGTAGACATCGTAACAAACATTGCGAATCAGCTTTTGGGCTGACTTTCTGACATCAGGTTATTTAAAAAATCATAACTCCATAACGGGACGTCGTATCCAAAAAAAAAATTTCCAGCAAAATGTTCTTAAAAGACTAGTCTACACCACCATATGATTGAAAAAAAAAATCGAAAAATGTTTTTGACCTTTGAAATCAAGATGGAAAAAGAAAAGCCTATCTAAGTACTCTATTAAAATAGGTCTATAGTCAGTCAGTAGTACTCTGGATTAGCATTGTTTTAGTTACCATATAAGACATTCCTGTGTTAAATACATGAATTACTATACTATACTTCTTTATAAAACATATCTTGTACTTTATACTAAGAGAAATCTGTATATTATAATATCGGTACATGGAAAAGTAACAACAAGAAAGTACCGTACTATGCTAATACAGTTTTCCTGAATCTCTTTTTTTTTTTAGTAGCGCAGTAGTAAGTGTTGTAGTTACTTGGTTTAGTCTTAAAAATTATTTTTTACAATGTTTTTAAAAGTGTAGAGAAGTATGTATATACAATTACAATTATTCAAATGAAGCTTTTGCTGCTTGCACCGAGAATACAAGTAATATAAATTAATGAGAACACAAATAAATTACAGTTGATAATAATACAGTGATCAAATAGGCCTATATATATGAACATGATGTAATTAATCATATCAAACATAGTTCATAACGAAAGTTCCTTATATGTTGTATCTTAAGTGGCGCCAGAGGGAGGCCTGGGGGGGGGGGGTGGTTATTGCCCCCTCGTCGGGGAAGCGAAAAATATATTTATACATATTTGTCCTTTTAGCAACCATATCGCCTTTAGCAAGCATATCGACCTATTTGTGTACCCTTTGTGTTAACTTTTCATCACTATAATAACAAAAACAACAACAATAATAATAATAGTAATAATAGTAATAGTAATAATAATAATAATAATAATAATAATAATAACAATAATAACAATAACATATATTCACGTACCGTTTTATTGTAAGTTATCCGACTACCGTATATTACTTTGAATTTAGCCCATGAAACAACATATATTCATTCTTCTTCAACGTGAATTAATTACTTTCAAACATCTATTGGAACGTTTTTAATTTTGTTGTTAATAATTCACAATCACATGGATTATAAAAACCCTGGATTCGCTATCATGGAGGATATTATTGTAATG